TATATCTTGTTTGCCACTTCAAGAGCGTGAGGTCGAAACGTCAGCTATCTTGAATTGCTGTCTTCCTTCCCGGAGAGACACGCAAATGCACTTTCACACACACACACACAGACACACACACACCAAAGAGCCGGAGCTAGTTGCTCCCTCATGCCACAGCATCCTCATTCTCAATCCTCTTACTTTAAATGTCTTCTTGTGCCACGGGCTTGTAGCTTATAGCTGAGAATAGGGCAACATCATTAGGAGCACATTCTCTATCCATTATCGTTACTCGTTCTTAAAGTAATGAACAGAAAAAGGACCCAAACTTTTGACTGACTAACACTTCCCTGGACATATCTGACCGCCCGCGACCCTCGGGTCAGCTGTCTGACTCACAACTTCTCCGGGCTCCGTTATGTTCACTGACCAGGACAGACAGGACAGAGCTCAGAATCTCTTTAGTTGGCATCGTCACGATCACGTTTCTGTGCCTGAAACTGTTTTTTTTGTTATTTTTTTTACCTCACAGATGGCTAAAGGTCAGAGCTTGTTTTTTACATACATAATTTGAGTTGTGTCTTTGACATAGGAATGAAGCAAACTCCTTTTTAATGAAAAGGTGAGAGGGTTCGATCTGATGATGTATTGTTTTGGTTCTGAAGATTTGATTCTGGCGCTGTGTAGACGGCTGCCTCTCCAGTATCTTCTGGTAACCTTAATTTCCTGAGGGAGTCTTCCCAAGGGATCAATAAAGTTCAGTCTAAGTCTAAGTCTAAGTCTGCTAAAGCTAGCATCTTATAAATTGTTTTACAGTGAGAAAAAATGTTCTCAAAGGGAAAGCTTGAAATTGTCAAAACCAATCTGTACGGAGAAATACAGAGACATATTGAAGACTCATAGAGCTCCATCTCAGGCCTGATTAAAATGGTACGTGTCGAGGCTTAAACAAGCCTCAGCAAATTCTGAAAAATTGTTGAGAAGAGTGGGTCAAAAAAACCCTCTGATGACCTCTTAAAGGAAACACTTACTTCGACTAAAAGCTGGTTGGAGGCTGCTTTTAAAAAACAAGCTGAAGTGTTTTTTCTCAGTTTTTCACAGCTCTTTCATTGAGTAATGACAGAAATGGTGTAATTAGTTAAGTTCTTGTCCACGTGAGGTTGAATTTACCTCCTTTTAGGACTTAGATGATTGTTCACATGTGTGAGATCTTGGAATTGAAAGAGTCTGCGCTTCCTTTTGCACATGACAGCATGATGTATAACGTATCTCAAAGGGATTAATATATTGATATGCCCCTCCCAGCTTGTGTACACTTGTGGTGTTCTCCCACAGTTAATGGCCTTGGGCCTGGGTGAGGTCGCATTCCTTCTCCCCGCCAACGATTTTCAAAAAGCTTTCAACTATTTTGCATACTATTCCATTGATTTCTTCTTCTTTTTTTCTGCCTTGGCAGTAGATAGACTTTACTTTGCACCTCCTATGCACTTCGTACCGTGTTATTTAATGTGTTGATAAAATTCCAGCATCTAGCTGGCAGTAAGGAAAAGTAATTATCTCAATAGTAACTCTCTTAATGATTCAGCTAATCATTTCAAATTTAACCACAATTAAAGCGAGTCAGTATATACCCTGTTCAGTACCTGAACTTCAAGTGGAGGAGAACAAGCTTAGTTCAGGATCTTTAAATGTAGATGTGCTATACCTATCAGAAAAAAGACAATATATATTTGCATGGTGAGCTATTGCTTTCCAAAAATTTAGCAACTTCTAAATTTTGTGATTTGAATAGATTAGAGAGAACGTGATGGAGTTTGTCTATTGTCATCAAAAGTGGAAATCCCATTGAACTGATCAGCAGATGACAAAAGCAGCTCAAAGTGAAATCAGCTGATATCCAAAAAAAGAATACATTTACATTTCCTGGTTTATGTCCCACTGCTTATCAATCCACAAATCGATTATTAGAGGTATTGCTTGTTCAAATGAACAAGGTAGAAGCCACTGATCAGGAAACTGTCACAAAAAAACATAGCTTCGCATTTCCTGGTAATTGTTGCTCAGGAGCATTCTTGTGTGAGTTGTGGGTTACTTGTAGTTTTAGAAGTGTAGCCGTTGGTTCTTTAGCTTTGCTCTGCTGTCTAAAACAACAGAAATAAAAGCAACCAAGAAAAAAAAAGAAAACAACAATGCCTCTGGCTACCGGAGGAATGAAAAGACTGTCCAAAACAGCTGCTGTCTGAGTTTTTTGCCTGTGCTTTACTGCTTATAAATTTTGGTGGGATATCTATTGTGAAACGCATGGACGTGAAATACCATGAATTTCAGCAGTCACGACAGATTAATGACTTTCACGTCAGCAGTCTATCAGCAGTGGCATCTCTCTTGCATGGGAATTCTTGGAAGGAAAGTATATATGTGTGTCTGTGCTGGGAAGGAAATGATCTTTGGAGGCTTATAGCACCACAGACAGATGCTTCTATATGGGTGTAAAATGGTCTTTAGGCCTCTGTGTGGCATGGTGTGGAAGCAATCATCTCACCTTGAATGTGAACAGAACCAAGGAGATGATTGTAGATTTTAGGAGAAACAGAGTTGAATCAAACCCTATTTCTATCATGAAGTGGACATGGTTGAACAATATAAATATTTTGGTGTTCATCTAGATAATAGACTTAAGTGGAGACTTAACAGTGAAACCATCTACAAGAAGGGACAGAGTAGATGCCAATTTTTGAGGAAACTAAGATCCTTCAGCAAGATTTTACAGATCTTGTCTAAGCCTGTTGTTGAGAGGGTCATCTCCTCTGCTGTCATCTGTTGGGGCAACGGAATCAGACCAGGGACCAAAAAAGGCTCAATAACTTGGTCTAAAAGGGTGGTTCTGTTCTGGGGGATGACCGTAGAACGTCTGGAGATGATGATGCAAACAAGGATTTTGCATAAAATCAAGAACATGATGGACAACTCTGACCATCCTCTTCATGAGACTGCAATTGAAAGACAAAGGCTCTTCAGTCAGAGGCTTCTTCAGATTACAGCTACAGAAGATCTTTTCTGCAAACAGATATCAAAATGTATAATAGCTCCTTAACAAAATGAACTAAACCAACATTTAATATCCCTCTGAATAAAGTATTTTAATTGAATTGAATTGATCAAAACAACAACAAAAGCAAGTAAATGAACCCACAAATGGCAGTAAATACCCAAGAACCTCACAATTGTGGCTACTAAAATTGTTCAATAGCTTTATTAACCAGTATTGTGTGTCACTACTTTGGTTGACAAAACTTCTGCATATACTTTTTTTGTCACCGTGAAACTTTGTCATCGAAACTCCATTAGAAAAATATCCTAGCAACATCTTAGTCAAATACTATCATTGCGACACACCCCCTCCCAGTGCAGCTCAGTTACTGGTATCTCAATACAGAAGGAGTTCCTCTGAAAAATGAGGGGGCTGGTTGCAACACCTCAAAGATCTTATCCAGAAGCTGTCATGCTTTAGTAGATGCAGTTATGCATGCAAAACTTGAAGTCAGTCAAGCTTCCGTGGTTGAAAAGCTCTTTATAAATAATGGTAAAATAATAGTACATAAGGGTTTGAACGAAGCCAAAGCCGAAATGCATGTTCACGCCGGCCATTTTTATAATGTCAATAGCGGAGAGCCGAAAAACAAAAACAAAAAAAATCAAGCCGGCATGTGATGTTGACGAGGAAATGTGATGTAAACCGTGATAGATGTCTCTATTAATAGGCCGGGCAATAGAGTGACCACAGTCACAAAGGACTGGATGAGAGGCCCCATTATGTCCGAACGAAGGAGTCAGAGCCACTTTGTGGAGAAGGCTCTCGAAAAAACAAACCTCGACTGACCGGAGCTCCGTCCGCTCCCGCTGCGCTAACCCCCCCCCCCCCGACTTCTTTCTGCTGAGTGGGCGTTTGGAGGAGTTGTGAAGGTCAGGGGGAAAGACTCGGGAGGTGGG